TTAAATCCTCGAAGAAAGAGTTAGGCTAGTGAAGTATCCCTAAAGTTGATGAGAACTCTGAAATAGAAACTGTGTGTTTTATTTAATAATACTGGCTGGGTACTTTTTATTAGTCTGCAGAAATAAGCCTGATTAAATACCCTTTAGCTTGGCCTTTCTTATAAGGGTTTGTGAAAGTGTTGAATACACAGTCTGTGCATTAACAGCAGGACACATTCTATAGCACATACCTTATTCATCCTTCCAAACCAAATTTAGTTGGTGCAAAATTTTCCATAATATCCTATTGTAAAATAATAGTGCAGGAAATGAAATACCATTAAAACAATTTTTCAGGACTAGAACTCATATTTAAAATGAGATAAATATCTAAGATATACAAATCAATTCAGTGGTAATTTTGGTTATTTACACCATTAGAAGAAGAGGTGGGCTTACCAGTAGATGTAATTTGTTCATGTATAGGCACATAATACTCTATACAACAATCACCTATAGAAGGCTAAACATCTATGTTTACTAAATGTTTACATTAATAAGGTTATCCACTAAATAACTGTGGTATCTATAAAATATTAATATGTGAAATAAATGGAGAACACAGTGACAGAGTCATCTATTTAAAACACATATATCTCATGCTGGATAAACTTATGCAAAGGGTACTTGAAGAGTTTGCCTTTATTCAGCCATATCCTATTTGGAAACAGACAATATTTTACAAGTCAGTTCTGAAGCATGCCAATTTTTAAGAGTCAATACAATGTGTATGTTTTGATTTTATGATGTCCATCATGTGCTAACACATTTGTGTTATCATCTTAAAGATTAGGTTAGCATTCATTAAAAAAAATTTTAAAGGTACATTAATACATTTTATTTCTGTTAGAATGCCTTTTAGGCATTTGCTGAGAGTTTACTTGGGAAAATAAAATTATAAATCATGTTTGATAATAACTAGGAAAAGTAAAAGTTAGCTAGTTTATCATATTTATAATAACCTGAATATCCAGAGATACTGTATAATAAAATCAGCCCTTGGACAGCTCTCCATGGTACCTTCTTACTGCACCTTTAATCATAGTAAGAAACCTGTGAATAGATAATGTAATTGCTGTTGCTGAACATAACAAGAGTTAGTGCATCTTTTTGACTCATGAAACTGGATCTATGCATGTCCCCATCAATGCCATATGCTTTTAATCTCTTGGCACGCTACAAAGCAAAATCCAATTGTAATTATTGCACAATAATTTTTCTAATTTATACTCATTCCAAAATGTTTACAATTTATTAGCTGTGGTTGTCATCTTATCTATTCTCCATTGCTATTGCATTCCTGGCCACCTCTCTGAAGACTGATGGCACATTTTCCCTTCATATCTCTATAGCAAGTCAGGTGCAGAATGTACAACCCTTCAATTGCTAAGCATCCTACCCACATTCACCTAAAATGGCAAGTACTCTCTATAAATATCCTCCATTTTACATCATAACTTCTTTGAAAATAAGAACCAAAAGAAATCATTTGAGAAGCAAGTGCAAACAGCATGAAAACAATCCTTTGTGGTTCCCCTAACACACATAATGAAATCTGAATTATTTTCCAACCACCATCCCTCACCTTTCATATTTGTCTTTTGTCTTCCACAGCATTGCAGTCACATTGACTCCAGTCAGTTCTGGGAATAGGCGAGCTCTTTCTGGTCACATGGCTTTTGCATGGGCAAATTCACCTGCCCAGAATGCTTTTCTCTTCACCTTACACAGATAGATTCTTCTTTTCCATCAGGTTTTTCTTTAAAAGTCAACTCCCTAGCAAGACTTCAAGTTTACTTTGGGGAAAAAAAAAAAGTTCTTTTCTTTGCATTACCTTTCTTTTTTTCTTTTTTTTTAAGATTTTATTTATTTGACAGACAGAGATCACAAGTAGGCAGAGAGGCAGGCTCCCTGCTGAGCAGAGAGCCCGATGCAGGACTCGATCCCAGGACCCTGGGATCATGACCTGAGCTGAAGGCAGCAGCTTAACCCACTGAGCCACAGGAGCCCCTGCATTACCTTTCTTAACTCCTTGTTTGGTCCTCTCTTGGGCTTTTTTGCAGGCAGCAAATACCAGTTCTCTTGTGTACTCAGTTTTATTGGTCTTTCTTCATTAGAAAACAATCTTTATGACGACAGGCTAGGTTCTTTTCGATATTCAATAAACGTTTATTGAATGCAGACATACATAAATAAATTAAATATTTAACATACAAAAAGGTAGGCTAAAGCAGTACAATCTTGAGCTAAATGGTGCTAAATTCACTTGAATTTTAATCTCAACTTTATTACTAACTAGCTATAAGACTTAAATTTTTTTTCTTGCAGGGGTGCCTGGGTGACTCAGTCAGTTATGCGGCTGCCTTTAGCTCAGGTCATGATGCCTGAGTCTCAGGATCAAGTCCTGCATCAGACTTCCCACTCAGCAGGGAGTGTGCTTCTCCCTCAGATCCTCTCCCCTCTCCTGCTCTCTCTCATTTTCTCTCTCTCTCAAATAAATAAATAAAATTTTTATTTTTTTTAAGATCTTTCCTTTACCAACTGTATCATTAACTGTAGTCACTCTACTATATATCACATCCCAGGACTTATTTATTTTATATTATTTATTTTATAATAAAATTTGTACCTTTATAATAAAAAATACTTTTTAATAAAGTTTTTACCTTTTGACAACCTTCATGCATTTGCCCATCCCTCTATCACAAGATACCTTTATAAGCCTAGAGAAACAACATTATTGGGAGCACAGATTATTTTAAGGTGTTAGGTTTTGTTTTGTTTTGTTTTCAAAGATTTTCACTATTTATTTGACAGAGAGAGACCACTAGGAGGCAGAGTGGTAGACAGAGGGAGAGGGAGAAGCAGACTCCCTGCTGAGCAGGGAGCCCCATGAGGGTGATCCCAGGACCCTGGGATCATGACCACAGCCAAAGGCAGACACATAACCAACTGAGACACCCAGGCCCCCCAAGGTGTTAGGTTTTTACTTAGGAAAGCTCTTGATTTAAAAAAAAAAATCCTAAAGAAATGTGACATTTTTTTCCTATTGTCAAAACCCCAAATTATCAAAGAGTCATGTTTCTCATAGCTTATTTCATTTTAGCAGTCCTATCACATTTGTTAGCCACATATCCCCTCATCATTGACCCCCATGTAGTATACACTCAGCTTTTGGGTGGGGTGAACATGGCTGATGCCAAAGAGATCATATTTGTTAGTTTTGGATCACTGAACTTCTCTATCTTTGCCTTCATTTCCATACCTATGAAACAGAGAAAGCAATACCCATGCCATGTTTTTCAGAGTGCTTCTGTGAAGTCAAGTTGAGGTAACGGATGTGAAGACACATTGACATTTTCAAAATTATATAATAAAAAATTGTATCATGCTAAGTACAAAATGCAGATTCTGGGGGGGGAAATAAAAATAAAAGCTGAAGTTTCAAAAAACAAAAAATAAAATAAAATAAATAAAATAAAAAATTATATAAGTAAAAGATACTTCTCCAACCTCATCTTGAAAAATAATAAGGACAAGATTTGAATACAAGAAGAGAACTTGGAAAAGTTTTAGCATGAATTGTAGGAAAATTAGTCCCCATTCTTCTACAATGAAAACGGTAGTGGAGAGGCAGATTGGAAAATGATTGTTCATGAAAAGAGACGGTGGGAAGATTGTTTTATAACACTGAAAGCATACAAGCTGCATTTTCAGGCCCCATTACTAAGAGAAGGATGGGCACTGCTTCCAGTATTGGTGACACCTGGAGGATTTAACTCTCCTTTAAATAGAGGTGGGACAGATACAAAGTAGCTCAGCGACAGCACCAGGTGAAACACACTGTCACATCTAAAATAAAGAAAAAGGGGGAAATTAGAGCAACCGTGGATACCTATTTTCTAGTCTCTTCCTTCTTCCACTTGTCTTCCCAATTCCTTCACAAACTGTAGCTAACTGATTACACTGCTCTTTAGTTTTAAAATTCAGCCCCCTACCAGAACCTCTCCTATCGATAGGGATTGGGGGAGCAGGAGATGGACAGGAGGAAAACCAGAACTAAGTCAATACCATAATGATTGTACACTGGAAGCATGTTGCTGTACAATATCGCCCCAGAGCCGCTTTATCAATGAACATCCTACTGCGTCCCGAGATGTAGGTCAGGCTCATTGGAAAATATCAGCCGCCGATCGCATGCAGTCTTCATGATATTTCCAGACCGGGTGCGCTGCTGATTCTTGCACACTGGAGTGCATCTGAGCTGCGTGATGGAGAGGGGACACCTGTACCTTAGGGACGCAGGTGAAGTCCAGTCTACCTTCCTGGTACTTTTCCTGGCGCTTCCTCATTCCTTCCCTCAGCCTCTCACTCTTCATCTCCATATCCCCTGCTGTCTTGGACCCAAGTTCCTCTGCTAAACGATGCTTTTCCCGCTCTCTCCTTTCTCCGCACCTCAGCCGAAGACAGAGTGCTTCACACAACTGGGCATGCCTAATAACCAGGGAAAGCTCGGGTTGCAAGAAGAAAGCGCTTGCACCTTCGGAGCGGCCCTCCCCTCTGCAGCTGCCTCCTGCCAGTCAGGCGATCCGACTTGCAGCGAGGCCCAATGAGAGTCCGCAGCCTTCGCGGGGGCCCGGCCTCTCCGGGCGCCACCACCAATGAATGGTTGGCGGAGGTGGGACGCGCCCTGTTCCCGCCTCTCCAGTTAAGGCCGCGGATGTGAACCGGGGCTCGGCGCGAGAGAGGGACGACGGAAGAGACCGGCAGGTGTGGGCGCGGGGCCGAGCAGCCCGACGGCGGGAGTCGCAGTCGCTCGGTGCATGGGCCAGTGAGGACGCGCGGAGATCCCCTCGCCGCGGCGGAGGCGGAGCAGCGCCAAAGGAAGGCGCTGCCCGGCGACCCTGCGTCCGAGTGAGCGGAACCTTGCTCTTCGGCGGGGACGGTCCGAAGTCCGCGCTATGGAAGAGGAGAAATATTTGCCTGAGCTGATGGCAGAGAAAGATAGCCTGGATCCATCTTTTGTGCATGCATCGCGCCTTTTGGCGGAAGGTAGGACTTGCCCCCACAGATGGGCGCAAACCACTGGCCGCTCTTCTCACCCGCGGCTTGGTTAGGGGAGTGAAGTTGGGGAGGGACGCCTGTCTCCTTCGCAGACACTGTCCCCCTGAAGATGCTCGCTTCAGAGCTCGGGCGGACCGAGCCCGTTCTTGGGGCGGGCAGCAGTGCTCCTTCTCTACGTCTTAATTTGGGGAAGACCAAAGCTACGAGACGTAATGGCAGTAGTGATGTGACCTGTTAGGATCATTGATGGAGAAACCGTAAAGTGTGGCGCGGTCAACAGGGATATTTTCACTTTGCAGAGGAAAGGGAAATCAGTTTGGGAGTAAATGGTGATCTGTGTGGTTTTCTAAGAGCTTCTTAGCTACAAATCAGCATATTTTTTCTTTCTTTATTTCTTTTTCTTTCTTTCCTTTTTTTTTTTTTTTTTTTTTTTTTGCTGCATTTCGGAAGTGATTTTGATACCCTTTATCTAATTACAGCCGTTCCTATGGAAAGTCTTAGAATTAACCTAGATTAAAACTATGCATGTTCGTATATGTTTGTGAATGTGGCAAAGGCTAAAGTGCTTATCAATTTATTTGAAGTGTGATGATTGGGTACTCTGAGAGATACTGGCCTCTGAGAACACTACACAAGTGATCAACTGTTTCACCAAGTGTGCATTTTCTTTTGTGTACCTGTAATGTTAAAGGAGATTTCATTCCCAGAGGAACATGTATATCTTATCTTTTGCGTTGCTTTGAAAGATTGTTTAAACACACGCACACAAACTTCGGTATGACAGAAATATTAGCCCAGTTACTCTATTCATCTTGAAATAATGCCATCTATCTGGTAAAGATACAATATGTGTAGTTATCTACACATGCCTTTTTAAAAACAACTCCAGATTTTTTTTTGATGAATCTTTCATTAATAATGAATTGCTTTATCATCAAATTGACTACAATGCAGTTTTGTAGCTTAGGTTGTTATGGACTTACCTATACCAAAACTAAAAGTGACAACTTCCTCTTCCTTGGCCCTTCTGCATTAAAAGAAATGTTTTCTTTTTTGAGACCTAGTTGTACATGGAAGGAAAAATTGTGATCCTCCATGTAGAATTCAAATAACCACTTGGTTTGTTTAAAATTTTCATTTATAGGGTATTTATAGCACAATGAAGTCCAAGTTATTTTTTTTTCTTTTTGCATACTAAACAATTAAGATTTATAATCAAAATCTTGAACATGTGAAACGGCTAAGCTGCTGCAAGGAGTAGGTTGGTTTTCCAGAGGATCTGGTAAGGTGAAAAGCAATTATGCCGACTACTATCTTGGTTACTGAATGAAAATAATAGAAATTAAGTTGAAAAGTAAAGTCAATTTAAAATTGAAGTTCTCCCTCTACTTTATTGAAAATAAGGATAAATGCATAAAAGTAATAGGAATATTGACAATTAATGAGTTAATAAATGCTTAAGATTGTTCAAAATGATTTAAAATGCAATTAAGCTTTCTGAAATCTTTTATTTCAATATATCTTACAGAAGCATCTTTATTACGCTGATAATGTCTTTAAAATGAAAAAAAAAAAGTTACGAATTGATCATTTTTTTCTGACCTGCTAATTGGAGTTCTCTTTGGGACAGCAGGCTCAATGATTAATTCATCAGTCATTGATGAGAAGTTAGTGGAGTTTGTATATGTTTCAAAACCACCACACTAAAGAAATGCATATGAGAAACTCTTAGCAGAGTGCATAAGTATTTCTGTGGCAGATGAAACAGTCAGAAAAGGCTGTGCCTTTGATTCTTTAACATTCTATCATTCCCAGAAACTTGATTTTTTGATACTTAGGAACATGTTTGAATGTACCTTGTAATTTAATTTTTTCCCAGTAGGGGGAAGCATGTCCTGCTTTTGTAAAGAATTAGGAGGCAAAAGCTCCTAAACAGAAAAACATCTAAGTAAGAAACAAAGAGAGGTGTTCAAATTTCAGAGAAATCATAATGAGGAAAAGAGAACGGAGGAGGTGATGATTATAATCTTGGAGTATATAAAAATTTATGCAAAAAATGCATAAGTTTTACACTAATTCTTTATTTCTACCTTAAGTTCTTTATATGTACTTATTAAAGAGTATAAGGTGAGTGTCCTTTGGAATCTCTAATAAATCTTAACGTACATTTTACGTTATAGATCTTTCATTGTTTTTTCAAAGGCCATTTGCCAAGATTTCCAGATTTTGTTTCAGATCTCCATAGGAGAATATGTTGAGATGATTTTATTTCTCTTACCTGGAAATGCACTGATTGAAGGCAGTGGCTATAAATAAACCTGACATAGATATTCATTTGGAGAGAAGGTGCACACTGAAGTACATTTCAGTCAGTACTGTGCAGACAGTCTCAAGACTGAGTGAGCAATAAAAATGATGCAGATGATTCAGTTCTTCAGAATGATTTTCTGGAAGCTAATATATATATATACACATGTAAGGTCAGTGATGTAAAGCAATGAGCTTTCACAGTGATTTATTTTGCATTTTTGATTGGCGATAAATGCAGGTCAGTGCTCAATTGCAACTATTTCGTAAGGCCATGGGGTTAAACATACTAGTTTCTTGATTATTTTGTTATTTTTATCGTAATTTGTTTTATTTCACTTGTTTCTGCTATGTGTTTTCAGTAGGTATGATTCTGTGAAAGCTAATGGGAGAACCCATACATTTTATGTATTTGATTGTTGCTTAGAAAAGATCTTGAATAATATGGTTTGAAGAGTGCTTATAATATGTTTGATTAATTAAAATAATTTTCCTCCTGTGATTATAATATTGTTTAATTATCCATTTGTTATGGAAGGTGCTTTTGAATATGATAAAACAGCAAACTCAGCATGATCCTTAAAGTTCCACTCAGCCTCTGAATTTGCTTGCCAGATGAAATTAGATGAGGTTATTTATATCTATGCTGCTTCTGGGAAGTGCACTAAACTGAATCCAGATACCTGGATTTTAATTCCACTTTTGCCTAAACAGAATGTTGATAAACTTCCCTTCCCCCAGGCCCTAGGCCTTGTCTCTGAAATTAAGGAGTTGGACTAAATGATGTTTGGATTTCCTTGTAGTCCCAGACTTAATTAGAATTATAAAGTTCTCCAGTCTGCAAGATTTCCTAACCTGACTTCTTCACAAAAATTGGTAGATTCATCATTGTTTTGGTTGACTGATCAAATAAGGAAGTCAAATATTGCCAAATATCCCAATAGTTAATTTGTTTGTTTTTTTGTTTTAACATTAGGTGCTATTTTAAAATTCCGGTGAAGAGCATGGCCTTTCATCTAGGATTGGCTTTCGTGTTTGTAGGTATAGAAAAACTTTTAAAGCTGTGAGAGAGGGGTGCCTGGGTGGCTCAGTGGGTTAAGCCACTGCCTTCGGCTTAGGTCATGATCTCAAGGTCCTGGGATCAAGCCCCGCATCGGGCTCTTTGCTCAGCGGGGAGCCTGCTTCTCCCTCTCTCTCTGCCTGCCTCTCTGCCTACTTGTGATCTCTGTCTGTCAAATGAATAAATAAAATCTTTAAAAAAAATTTTTTTTAAACTATGAGAGAAACAGGAAATAATATTTATCACAAATGCTGATTTGCGGTGACTTAACTACATGTAGATTCTCAGTAAGGATCATTATTTAATTAGGTTGTATTCCTCAAAATTTTTTCCACAAAGCAAAGAGAGTTCTTAAATTAAAGAAAGGCATTGGAATAATGTCTAAAATTAGCATCTGATAAAAAAATAGTATTCACATGACTTTCCTTTTGATCAGTGTAACCCATTTTTTCTCCCTGTACATTTGGGATAATCTGGTTTGTTTCTTAAATAAAAAATAAAAATTAGTGAAAAAATAAATTTCAAGGTATTTTTGATTTTCAATTGAGACATAATTATGATACAGTGCAGAAACTTTGCTTTAGCAAATAAAACACTTGGGACAGAGTGTTGACACTTCTGTCTACCATGAAATATGGGATATGTCATTTATCTCCTCTCTGATTCTGTTTCTTCATCTGTAAAACAGAAAAAGTTGTATCTACCACCCATGGTTATGTTAAGTTTAAAAAATTCTGTTTGTGATAATATAAGCAGTATTTTATACAAACATTTATAGATCTTTTATACAAATACAACATAAACAAATTACACAAATATAAAATGATGCTTTTAAGATTTTCTTTAACATTTTAATGGTCTTGTGGACTTGACGTCACCTTGAAGCTTGGCTTTGTAAGAAAATGAGCACTGCCTTTACTCTTTGGATCACTGCTGAGTAAATTTTGAACTTACAGACCGAATTATGAAATAAATTGTCTTATGAAAAATTATTCCAATCAGGGTTTTTAAAACATCGTGTTCCGTTATGTTTCCAGTGCTCACTTTCAGTGTTTTACTTGAGCTTACTTAGCCCTTGTCCCATGTCTTTCCAGGGTAATTCCAAACCTCCTCAGGCCTCCTCATAAACCCACACATCCTTCACTCTTGGCAGCTGACTTCATCCTCTGTTTTAGTAGGAAATGAATATATCTCTTCTGACATTTTTCAACCTCCCATCATCTAAAGACCTGCATAGTCCTTCTTATTCTCCTTCATTCCCAGAAGGTGATATGTTTCTTTTTTGTTCTAGGCTGACTTGTGCACCAGTATCCTAGATCCTAATGCTTATTGTGTCCTCTAGACTCATTCCATAGTTCTGTCTCTTCTGCAGTATCTCCAATTCCCTCTCCGCTCTTTTATAGTAGTAGCCTGTAATTGATCCAATCTGAATAACTTAAAAAAAAACATTTTTTTCACTTGCCAAAAGTAACCCCAATTTTCTCTCTCCATACTCCTTGTTTCCTTCAAGTTTCCAGTAATATTAGTCTTTACTTAGCTGCCTCACTTTCTCAGTTAACCTCTTCAAAGCTCTTCATTCTGGCTTCTGTCCTCTTCGTTGTTGTAAAACCAGTGACCAGGA